TTATTTATTGTCTAGCTATCTCCCCCAGCCATAATTAAACTCCATGAGTTCAGAGACTGTATATAGACACACGGACCACCAGAAATCACACTCTTTATTCAACCAGCCGGGCCTGCCAGGGGTACACAGACCCCAAATCAAGCAGCCTCGAAATGTAGAGGTACAGGGTTTTTAAGCTCTAAACCCCTATTCTTCATCCTGTTTGAACACACAAGTCTATTTTTCTTCTTTTTACTAACTGTCAACCCATAGGTAGGTTGTGCAAGCGAGGGTACCGAAGCAGAAAGTTTATTGTTAGAGCATTATGTTCCCATGGGCGATAGCCAAGCAGTAATTTTTCATACCTATGTGGATATGTCTTCTATGTGGATAGAAGACCAGCAATAAATGTTCATTGAACAAATAAATGAAGTGAATTGATTAATGAATTACAGAGCAAACTCATAACTACCTCCTTTTAGGGACTTAGACAGGATTGCTGAGAATCTTTACTCAAAGTAATCTGCATTACCACCTAATTTCAATCCCAATAGCTGTAGCCAAATGATTCTTTTGAGACAATAGCCAAGAACTTGACTCAAAATTATTGTTGTAGATATGAATATAGACTTTCAAAAGGTCATTGCTGGCTTGGGAAAATTCAGTGGACTTTAAGGAGACCAAACTTGAAACTATCTTACAGTTGGCAGAAAGTCCTGGCACTTTTTAGAATTTACTGAAGAGATTAATTTCTTTGTACTTCCGGGATAATACCAAGAAAGGGAGGAACACAGAAGTTGAACTTTAAAGTCCCTTCATTTCTAGAAATTGAAATGTCCGCTTGGAAGGGGAGGAGCTATAGAAGCCAAAGTCATCAGAGTCTTACTATTTAGAACACTCTTATTGCTCCAGGTCTTGACATGTCACTGAAGATGTGGGCTAACCTATTGGGACACATTATAGGGCTTCCCAAGATAAAAGCAATTAATTATCAGAAAGCGAGTATGTTTCTTGGGAAAAGGCAATTGAGATTTGGCTTTGACATACAAATGAACTGCTTCAGAGGCCGAGCTTCTGGGTACTGCTGACCTATTTTATTCTCCTACTGGCTGATAATGTCAGTTCAGTAATACCCATGTGGTCCCACCTGTTCTACCTGTTGGCACACTGCCTGGAAAGAGCTGGATAAAGGTAAAGATGCTCACTCTCCTGGGGCCCTGAGTAAGCTATCTGGGGTTTAGCCCATACTGGTTTCCTGGGATTGCCTTTCTTAGACTTACCTGTAGCAGATGCTGTTCGTGCCCTGCCCAGGTTCTCTTGACCAACTGCTGAGCATATTGACTATTAACAGCTCATACCAGCACTCATCTCAGGGTTGCCCTTGGCTGATGGATGTTCCCTAGTCCAGAAATGCCTAAGAGATTCTGCTTCTTTCAGGGAATCGATCAATTCTCCAATGAACCCTCATTGCTTTGTATTAGAGAATGGTATTTAGAAACCACAGTCTGGGCCCTGGGAGTCTTCATTTCTGTTGGGGAGTGATCACTTCTAGACTGTCTCAGTGGACAGAACTAGGAACTATATGTGTGAGTACCAACTCATGCATATATACATATGTAACTATATTCATTTCTGACCCTGTCTTTATAAGTACATATTTTTAAATATCCATGAGATTTTACTGCTTACTCCAACTGTGATCTAGTACCACAGGATCCACTCTTGCCTTCACCCATTTCTTTATATGTAACTTCTTTCTCAGACAGTGGAAAAATATGGCTCATGTTATCAACAATATGTTTACTTATTTTTCAAACCTTAGTATACATCTAAGTAGTTTTGGAATTGCTAGCCTATACTCCTCTGAGAAATAAACTTACCAACTTTATTGTGCAACTTTATTTAGAGTACAGCATTGTGGATAATTCTTTTTATCTTTAGCCTTCAGTTTCAGTCAAAAAACTGTTTTCCAAAGTTACCTAGGGTGGCTCCTTTTTTTCTTACTCCCTTCACTGTGCTTATGTGAGTCATTTGTAACACAGTTAGATTCCTTTGTCACTGTCTATATTTCATTTAAGGTACCTCTCACAACCTAGTAAATTGTTTACAATTTATATACAGGAAAATTCACTCATCGTGATGCACAATTCTATAGGTTTTAATAAGTGCAATGAGTTGTGTACCACCACCACAGTTCCATCTAAAACATTTCCATTATCCCCCAAATTATCTTGCACTGACCCTTTATAGTCAGCCCCTCTTCCCAAACCCAATTCCCAGCAATTACTTTCTGTTTTCCAGCTCTATAGTTTTTCTTTTTTTCTAGAAAGTCGTATGAAAAAAAACCACACAAGTTATAGCCTTTTGTGTCCAGCTTCTTTCACTTAGCATAATGATTTTTGAGATTCACTCATGTAGTTTTATGTGTCAGTAGTTACTTTGTTTTTATTGTGAAGTAGCATTCCATTGTATAGATATTATACAATTTGTTTAAACATTTATATGTTGGTAGACATCTGGGCTGTTTCCTATTTTTACTATTGTAAAGTTGCAATGCACATTCACATTAAGTCTTCGTGTGGATATATGTTGTCATTGCTTTGGAGTAATTAGGAGTGGGATTGCTGAATCATGTGGTAGGTAAATGTTTCGCTTGGTAAGAAAGATCCTATAGTGATATTCTTCCTCTTCCCCTTCTGCTTTCCTAAAGTCTTGTAGTGAGGAGAGCCCAAGTAAGTGATAAAGTGACAACAGAGGAGGGGAAGGGAGAGTAGTAGGCTGTTCTGATGTGGCCCAAATGGGGCTGGTTTAGAAAAGAAAAAAATTGGGAGAAGGATTGGGATGAGTAGATATAATGAAGCAGCACAGTTCAAAGGAGAGCCCATAGGTTTGAGTCAGAACTTCTGGAATGTAAGTCCAGGCTCTATGCTTCCTAGTCATAAGGCTATGAGAAATTTAATTAATATCTTGGTTTATAAATATTTGAAATGGAGGCAATAATAGTTACCCTTCATGATTATTTGTGCAAGTGTTTTCTAAACGAAAAAATTTCTCCAAATGATGGTGTTATTTTAGGGAGAACACAGTACATGTCAGCTCTGAACCATCTTGGTTAGGGATGAGTGTGGAAGGGTTGCTGGTAATGATACAATGGATTTTGCTCTTATGATATGTAATCTTAACTTTTGACTTTTAACAAGGTGTCAGTATATAAATGTAGTGGGAATCAGGTCATTCAGGGTACAAACTCCTTCCAGAATCTGATAAAAGTCATAAATTTTTTCCACAAAATGCTTCTCATAAAATTCTAGGAAAGAGTTCATAGAACACATAAATACCACTCATGGATTCCGGTTTTAAAAACACTGATTTATAGATACCAGTAGACAAAGAGAAACATAAAAATCTAGTTAACCTGTATAAAAATAATTCAATTATGGTTACGTATACCCTTAAATTTTATTTCCATACTATGTGGTATAGTACCCTATTTTGCTTACAATGATATCAAATTGACTTTGCTATAAGTTTGATATAGTTATAAAACCAAACTGTTGATGCAATCTCCACCTTTATTGTTTGTTGTTCATGTGACACAGTGTCGTCTATTCACTACTTCAAAAAGAAAAATTAGAAAGACCATTTCTTAAGAGCTAGTATTCTGCCTCCATGGTTTCATTTTGCGAAATAATTATTTCCCAGGTTGTAAATTGTGTGCTCTTGTGGAATAAACTGGTAGGTGAGAGAATTCGAGATAGAATGGGAGGTTTTCTGGCCTCAAATCTGGGCTAGAATCCCAGCTCTTTACACCATTTCCTAGGATTCTGCTTTAGCAAGCTCTTTAAACCCTGGCCTTCACTAACTTCATCAATTAAATGGGAATAACAATACTTACTTAGTGGGCTTTTAGGAGGATTAAGGACAATACAAACAAAGCATTCAACTGTATTGGATTCTAAACAATGGTTCTACTATTATGGTGAGTTCTTTGTGTGACACAGCAGCAGCTATGTTGCCCAGGTTTCTAATGCCATATAATCATATTGGCATAAGAATCCCAATGTCCGGGACAATTGCTTACTCTGGGGGAGTAGCAAATGTCAAAGGCTAATAACAATTGACACTTCCTTGGGGATGCCAGGGAGCCAGATTCCAGGTTATGATGTGACCTGCCTTTGATGCCCAATGAACTATGACTTCTGAATGGCACTTTGTTGGCTTTCAGGAGGCCAGTGCAGTATCCAAGGCCTTAAAAATCTGGAACTAACACGCAGAGGGAAAACCAGTTTAATAACATCTTTCCGTTCCTTATTGCTAGCTTCCTTGTTTTTTCTTTCTCTGGCTTAACGAATATCAACACAAGAAATAAAATTTCTGACACTTTTTTTTTTTTTTTTCCGTCAAAGAATATATTTTCGTGTTTGAGTAAGTGCCATCACCTTCCGTGACTCCTCTAGGAAGAATGGAAACATTCTGTGAGTCACGTCCACCGATTTTCAGGCTAAATTTTTCGAGCATTCAGGAGAAGGCAGTGTGGTGTGGAAAAAGTAGTGGTCAGGATTCACGGCACCCGGGTCTAGTCCCTATAACCATGTCTGAATCTGTATGAAAGGGGCCAGTGGCTCTGCCTTAGTCTCCTCATTTGTAAAGTGCATCAAGTCGGCCTTGGGTGCGAGTGCGTTCTCTCGCACATGTAGAAAGCGGTGATTTCGCAGGACCCCAGACAAAGTCGGAGCCGAGCCTCGGCGGGGCCTGCACCGGACTGGCATCTGGGCGCCGCGCTGGTAATTGAGGATTGCGCGCGCAGCGCCTCCACCGCCTGCGGTACCCAGCGTCTCTGTTGCCGGGGGAACTGGGGGCGGTGCGCTTTCCGGCGCTGTCGCGGCGCGTTGCAGCTGTCATGGCGGAGACTGTCTGGAACACTGACAGCGGGGAGGCTGTGTATCGCTCCCGGGACCCCGTGCGCAACTTGCGCCTCCGGTAGTCGCATCGCCCCAGAGCCCCATGCTTTTATGCTCTCAGATAATTCGAGCCTGAATTTCGCTGTGTTCGGCTGCCCCGACTTCGCTTACAACCCTGATCACTGCCTCCACGGTCTCTCTGCGTCTCCCCTCACTACTCGGAACCCTCTTCACTCGCAGCTTCCAGACCCACCCAAGCCCTTTCAAGTCCCTGCCCCTCCCAAATTCCTCGAGCCCTGGATCCCCAGTACACTTTCTCATCTTCACTCTTCCCTTAGGACCCCGCGCCCTACTCACTTCCCCTCAGTTGCCTGCAACCTTGGTAGCCCCACCCTCTTAGGTGTTTTGTTTCCCCCATCTTTGCTCCGTGTTGCTCTCGTGTGTCTTGTAACAAGTATTTTGGGATTCTCTTTTCCTTACAGAGTCCACCTGCAAAGAATCACATCAAGCAACTTCCTCCAATACCAGCCTGCTGCCCAGCGTGGGAAGGACCTCATAGACTTGGCCACTTTTAGTCCTCACCCAGCTGCCAGTGGGTGTATGGTGGTGATGTGACCCCATGGGGATCTGAGAGTCGTCTAGGGTGGTAGTAACCTCTTAAGACAGGGTAGACCCAGGGCTGTAGTCTGAGAAAAGGCATAGAGAGGTTGGGTTCCTTGCCTAAGGGCACATGGCTGGTAAATGTTGAAGCCAGGATTTGATCCTAGGCAATTTACTACTATATTATGTTGTGTATGAAAATTGAATGACATGATTCCTGCCATCAAGATATATTATATAATAAATGTGCCTGGCAACCTAAATTCCTTTTTTTTCCTCTCTAAATTCCATTTATGGCATTTTTTTTCTAAGAGAAAATATGCTCCAAATTCTAAGCATACGTATAAATACTTTTTAAAACAATTTTAAAATTGTAGTACACTTGAAAAATGTGCACATTCGCTGTTCTCTTGCAGTTTTTCTTATCTGGGAAGGCAGAAGAGTGAGACAGAGAGGACAGTGTACTTGTGTTAGGCCTCTAGTCTCTGCTTTTGTTGTTACTGTTAAAAAATATTCCTGGGCAAGAGTGTGGGTTGGTGGCTTGTGAAGCATATGTTTCTGAAAAAGGCATACTCAGCTAGGAGTGTACTAGATTTGGTTCTTTATATAATCATTTATTTGCCTTTCTTCTTCTCTCCTGATACTTGGTCTCCTAGGGTTACAGTGTTTGTGATTCTAGATATATGGCTTCAGGAATAGTAAGGATAAAAATGCCAGAGTTTCCTTAGCAAATGTAGACAATTGGGATTGAGGAAGAGCTATTTAGCCAAATCCAAATTTCAGCTTCTGCCACTGAATTAGATTAAATAATTCCTGGAAGGTATCATGTTCTTTTATTCAAATTAGAGTAGTGATTAAGATTCCTTAGATCTTAATCCTGGCTTCAGTATATATATAGCCTCTCCAGTCTTTCTCTAGAGTGAATGCTTAATAAATCACTGAACTGCAACTACTTTTGTGGCAAATATACGAGCAGGGACTTTGGTTATAACTAACCACAGAGCTAGAAGTGGTTTGGCTCAAACATTTGACTCACTTTGTTGTCTTTGGAGGTGGACACCGCCCAGATGAAGATGAAGAGGAGGAAGTCTTGATTGGGTGGCAGGAGAAGCTCTTTAGCCAGGTGAGCCATTGCCACTTGTCTACTCAGTCTACCTCTACCTGGTCCACCTTCACTGGGATGGTGGCGGGGAAAGATTCTTGATACATATAGCCAAACTGATTTCCAGAAAGCTTCTAGCTTTCCCTGTTGTGTTTACAGGGGCAGTGTAACATAGTGACTGCTACTACTACCCAGTTTTATGATCTTGGGTGAAGCACTTTTCACTTCTGGGCCACATGCCATCTGTAACAACAGAGTTGTATTAAACCATCGCTCTGGTTCCTTTTAGCTCTAGCATTCTTTGGATCCCCTGCCCTCTATTAGTTTAGATAAATGAGTTGGCTATGAAGATGTGTCCAATTGTATCAACTCTATAGGACTGCTTTAATTGAACAGTTACAGAATCTAAAGTTTGACATATTCTCAGTAGATCTCTGTTTCTTTGTGACCTCAGTTTGAAGTAGATCTGTACCAAAATGAAGCAGCCTGTCAGAGCCCTTTGGATCATCAGTACCGTCTAGAGATCCTGAAGCTGGAGGATTCGGGTGGCAGGAAGAACCGCCGAATCTTTACCTACACTGACTCTGATAGATATACCAATTTGGAGGAGGTATTGCTCTTTCCAAGGTCCCATAGTTTCCTTCTCCTTTGCCTCCCTGAGCTTTCTGGCCTCCCTGGATTCCGTGTGTTAAATCAGGAGCCTGTGAAGGGGAGACAGAGAGCCTGTCTAGGAACTGCCTTGTGCTGCTGGCAGCCAAGCTGGAGTAGAGTTGGCACAGTCTGCAGGTGGTGTGGCGGCTGCTCCCTTCTCCACCTGCTGGAGGGCCTGTAGTTGCTAGCAGGGTCTCTAGATAGGTTTACAGACTACAAACTGGGAGAAGCAGCCACTCGGCTTGCCTTCTTCCATACATCTTGAGGTAAGACAGGGGAGTGTAATCTAGAACCATCTAGGTAAAATTCACCAAGGGCATCAGCCAAAACTCTGGAGCATATATGGGTTTGAAGAGGAGTTCAGTACATCCATAGAGAATGGCTCATGTCCTTGGTTTGCCTCAATTATGTCAACATACCTTGGTGGACTTGTTTAACATTTTCTTCAGTCATTGCCTGACATGTTCTATCTTTTCAGTGCGATTTTCAACTCCTTGACGGAGAGGAGAGCCTATATTTTCTGATTTTTGTCTAAAACCTTGTAGATCTCCACAAGGAGCCTGTGTTAAGTGAATATTTTTGAAAGACTGATGTTTTTATTAGGAAAGCTGTGGGTTGGTAGCATATAAAATTTGGATTGTCTGTTTTGGAAAAGTAAATAAAATTACATTGAATGCTCAGTTCCCATGTGAGCATTTTACACAGAATACTTGTCTCCCGTTTGACAACTTCCAACTACCTAGTTAACGTCAACGTGTACCAGGCAAACTCACCCAAGTTGTCTTTGGTATCTGCTCAGAGATTGCAGACTCATTTTAATATTAGCATAAATAAAATCATTTGTGAAGGTTAATATGCTGCTAAAATCTTAGGGGAAACCAAAGATGGTAGAAATCTTCTTTGGGTTGTTTGTGCCACTGCTCCCCTCCATTAGCATGTACAATTGTGAGATGCCTGCACCTTTTAGATTCAGGTCCTGGATGAGGTTTCAGGAGGAAGACTTCCCTTCAGGTACTTGGTCCTGTGTGGCCCTGACCAGCTGGGTTACACAGGATTGCTCTCTTTTCCCAGCACTGTCAGAGAATGACCACTGCAACCAGGGAGGTACCATCATTCTTGGTTGAGCGAATGGCAAATGTCAGGCGGCGACGTCAGGACAGGCGAGGGATGTGAGTGCAAGTGTGTATGGGGGCTGAGGGATGGCCTTTGTGGTCCTTCCATGCCAGAGTGCTCGGCATGCCCACCGACTCGAGCTTCCCATTCTACAGTAGGCCCCCACCTGGCCGTGCTCTCCTGTGTTCCTCCTTCAGGCTTTTCAGGGGAGTTCCAGGGAAGTGACCCTTCCTGTGTTATTTCTCAGGGAGGGTGGCATCCTCAAGTCACGAATTGTCACCTGGGAACCCTCAGAAGAGTTTGTCAAGAACAACCATGTCATCAACACCCCTCTTCAGACAATGCACATCATGGCAGACCTGGGCCCCTATGGAAAGTGAGTGAAACATCTCACTGCCTTGCTCAGATCCTCATCATATCTCCTCTCACTAACCATCACTCACCTGTTATAGTCATCCAGGGGTATATGGGAGGGAAGGACTTTTTCTTCTTTTTGTTCTTCATAGTTGTTCTCAAGGAAAGTATTTTACCATGATAATTTTCACTATAGGCTTTGTCCTTTCCCCTGCCATGGGCTGAATACCCCTTCCTCTTACCCTGGAGGTGGGACCAGTGATCCTGAACCTTGTTGATTTTCTGGTTTCTAGGCTTGGCTATAAGAAGTATGAACATGTCCTCTGTACTCTGAAAGTGGACAGCAATGGAGTGATCACAGTAAAACCTGACTTTACTGGCCTCAAAGGACCCTACAGGTGAGAGCAAGAAAGGACTTCACTTCTTGCCCCTAGTTGAGGAGGTGCTCTGAAAGCCCTTCATCTAACTTTTAAATTCCCAGGCAGTGATTCATGTTCTATTCTGGTTCATAGACCCCTAGGAGACTGGGGATTCTATTCTCAGAAAATGTGTAACTACACCAATTTGAAAGTGATAGCTTTAGCAGTATAGTTAAGTGAAAATAATTCTCTGTGCTGCCGAATGTAGGGGCTAACCAGAATAGGGTGAGATGAACTCAGCCAGGTCTTTTCCTCTGGCCAACTGTCCCTCACTTCTACGTCCTAGAATCACAGAACTATAAATTAGAGATTACCTAGACCCACCTGTCCATTCCTCACTCAGGTGAGCGAACTTGGTGCCAGGGATGTCGTGCTTTAGGGTTTCACTGTGACTTTATTGGCCTCGAACCTATACTCTCTGAGTCTAGTCTGGTGCCCTTTATGCTTTACCATTTTGTTTCCCTCTCCTGGTTGGTCAGCATTCTGACCACCGTCATCATCATATACTCTAAGTGAGGTGTTTGGCCAGGGATGGCTCATCCCTGAGCTGGATCTGGAGGGTGCCATTTCTTGTTATCAGAGTTGGTCCTTTTGTGGCTTTGACCTTACAGAATTGAGACTGAGGAGGAGAAGCAGGAGCTGTGGAAGTATACGATCGACAATGTGTCCTCCCTTGCACAGCCAGAGGAGGAGGAGCGGGAACAGCGTGTGTTCAAGGATGTAAGAGCTAGTTCTTTCTAAGTGCTGAAGGGGTGAGCTCAGCACCTGGGAGCTGAAACCGTGCCCAAGGGTGATGTTGGCAGTTGCAAAGTCTGCTCTTAATGGCTCTCTCCTGACTTAGGCAGCACTGCTGGCATATCAGACTCAAGTTTTTGATCATATTAGAACATCATCATCATGACCATTTATTTGAACACTTACCATGCTCTGTGCTAGGTACTGCAGGTACTTTATTTCATTTACTCTGTAAACAACGCTTTGAGGTGAATACTTTTATTATTACAATTATAAATGTGGAAACAGAGATTGAGAAGCTAAGCAGTCTGCCCAAGGGCATGTAGCTTGTATGTGTGAGAGCCAGGATTTGGTCCCAGACCAGTGGACTCCACAGCCTCCGTGCTTCACTTTAAAATGTCAGTGACTGGGATGCTTAAGTGTCCAGTTCTCTGTGGCATTTCCCATTATTGCTTCTTTTCTCCCTCCCATTCAGAACTAAACCCTGATCTGGCTTGGGTCACATCTTGAGTTTTGGTTTGGTTTCCTTCCTCAGCTCTATGGCCGGCACAAGGAATATCTCAGCAGCCTGGTGGGCACTGACTTTGAGATGGTAAGTACTGGGCTTCCTGCAGCACTGCCAGCTGGGTCCAGCCAGTGCATTCTGACTGTGGCTGAGTAACAGTGCCTCTCAAAACTCCCCAAGACATACTCTTCAGTGTCAAAGGAAGTAAAAAAGGCCACTTAGAGGATAGTCCTTGTCAATGTTTTTAAAATGCTGCATATTGATGTAGGTTAATGCATAGAAAAAGGCCTGAAAGGCTTGAGTGCTATGGGTAGCTTTTTCTGGGGAGAAGGTGGGATTGAGAGATGGCAGATGAATCCTGGGTGGTGAGAGATATGTCAGGGATATTTACTTTCTATTCTTTAAAACTTAGGTAGTTTTGAATTTTTATTAGTGGTAATGCATTCATGTATTACTTTATAATTAATTTTAAAAGTAAATATAAAGATGACAAATGTTTTCCTCACTCTTCATGTGGATACTTTTTCTGAGGACCTCATAGAGAGGGAATAGGTGTTGTTTCTGTTTGTCAGATAGTTTGGTTCTTTAAAAACAAAACAAAACTCCAGGAGTTCCATTTCTAGATCTGGAAACAAGGATAGAATTATCCACCGGTCTCCCTCTCTCTTTCTAAAAAATTAACTTTAATTATTTTTATATTGCATTAGCAGTAGATGTTCAGCATTAAAAAGTTAGATAAGATGGGACTCACAAACAACTAAAACAGTAGACTCCTTAGTGTCTTGACCCTGGCCATCTAAAGGGAACAGGGCTCTCCGGGCTCCCACTGCACGCCAAAGGGCCGCTGTTGTGGCTTCCTAAATTTTCCATACTGAGTTGTCCTCCCCACCATTTACATTATGTACTTTTTTACAGATTTTAGAAATGAAGGAAACAGATCTGTGAAGTGGAAGGGTGGGGAGGAAATGTGATAGTGATGGATCTGACATCCAATATCAGGTCTTCTGGGGATTTGCAGACAGGCAGAAGTGCCGATTCCCTCCAGGCCTCCTGATCTTTCCCGCTTCTCTCTTTAGACTGCCCCAGGTGCCCTTCGGCTCTTTGTAAATGGAGAGATAGGTAAGTGTCTTGCCGGACAGAGATCTCTTGATGCTTGGGCAAGTGTTGTGTTAGAGCTGTGAAGTGATCCACCCAGCCCCAGTGGAGGCCTTGGGTTGTCTGCAGTACTTGGCAAACTCAGTCATGAGTCTTTCTCAGAAAAAGAGAGTTCCTGGTACTCAAGGGACTTTCTTCCAGAACTGTATAGACCCTTCAGGACTGGGTGGCTGCCAAGGGTGATGAGAAAATAAGCCGAAATAATATCCTGTTTTCTTAGTTTCAGCTCAAGGCTATGAGTACGACAATCTCTATGTCCACTTCTTTGTGGAATTACCAACTAGTAAGTAATATTCGTAAGTCTCTCCTTTTATAACCATTCTTATGGTTATAGAGGGGGTAGGAAGCCTGACCCAAAGCCTCTATAACTCTTCTAGAGGCATTGGGTCAGGCTTCCTACCCTACTCCTGCCCTAAAACTGTTACTGTTCTTTTCAAGGTCATAAATCACTTCCAAGATGTCCAGGGTCAGGCTTCCTACCCTACTCCTGCCCTAAAACTCCTGCCCTAAATCACTTCCAAGTTGTCCCATCCTATAGTGACTTCTTTGCTTTCACCTTCCTTGCCCTCTCAGAAGCATTTGAAACAGTTCACTTTTCCTCACTGAAACTCTTCTCTTGGCTTCTGGCTCCGTGCTCCTCTTTTCTCTCTCGTTGGTGGGTCATCAACCTTCATGGCTAATTTCCTATCTTCTGTTGATTTTAAACTGTTAGAATATCCAAGGCTGGGCCTTTTCAGGACCATTTCCTTAGTCTGAAACCCTTTCTGTCATATCTTTGCACGACTGGTTCTTTCGGTTTAGGTCTCAGCCTAAGGGTCACCTCTGAGATGTCTTCCCTCACTACTCAATCTAAATGAACCTCCTCATCACCAGTTTCTTTACCCCGTTGTGTTTTCAGTATAGCATTTTTCATTGATAGTCTCTTATTGGTTGGTCAGTCTCCCTCTCACTAGAATGTTAGGTCCATGAGAGACAGGGATCTTTTCTATCTGGTCACCGAGATACCCAGTGACTGGTCATAGCACATAGTAGACACTCAGTAAATGTTAAATGAATAATTGATTGTGTGAATGAGTGAGTGAATGGATGAAGGAACTTCATCTTTTTCTCAACTGCTTGCCCTCCTGCCAGGCAAACTTATTATATATGGTCTCTGGTTTTCAGACTGGTCAAGCCCAGCTTTCCAACAACTCTCAGGAATAACACAGACCTGTGCCACCAAGTCCGTGGGAATGGTATGGAAAAATGAGAGGGGTGCCTGGAAGGGAACAAGACTCTGATTCTGGGGTGGGAAGATTTATCAGGCCTACAGCCACGCCCTCTGGGGAGATTCCAGAGTTGGGTTTGACCTTTACCTGCCTGGAAGGGAACAAGACTCTGATTCTGGGGTGGCATCTGAAGATTTATCAGGCCTACAGCCACGCCCTCTCGGGAGATTCCAGAGTTGGGTTTGACCTTTACTTGTGGGCTCTTCAGAGCTGCCCCGTCCTGGAGCCCTCTCGCTCCTTTTCTGATAACAGGAGCGACTTGTATGGGGTGTCCCTTCACCTCTCAGCCTCTAATTTCCTACCTGGGGTGACAGTTTTTCCTTTTCCCTTGGGAAGGTAGCCTTGTCTTTGGCCACAGGGAGAACAAATTCCACGTGAGGCCTTGCCCACACCATGACACCGCGTATAAAATGACACTCTTTTTTAGGACAGGGTGGCTTACTTCTCCTATCCATTCACATTTGAGGCCTCCTTTCTACACAAGGATGAATCAGCTGGTGAGTAGCTCAGTGCTTTCTCCTAGGCCTTGTGTCTCCTTAGGCTGTGCGTCTTCTTGGCGAAGGCCTCCCATAATGTGGCTGCTTCTCTCACTTGCTCCCAGATGCTCTCCCGGAGTGGCCTGTGCTCTACTGTGAGGTCCTCTCACTGGACTTCTGGCAGAGGTACCGTGTGGAAGGCTACGCGGCTGTGGTGCTGCCCGCCACCCCAGGTGACCTTTTGTCCCTGTCCTTCATGTGGCTCACATGCCCTAGCTCCTAGGAACAAGACCAGCACTTCCAAAAGATTCGGCATCTTCCAGTGAGAAGTAGGGATAATTAGGAATTAGAAGCCGTTCACTTGCAAGATTCCTTGCTCCTTCTGAAGAATGTCCCCCCTCCATTAGAGACGACTGAGTGAAACTGCAGCTAACTCCGTGAAGCTAAGCAGCCTGAGTGTTTGTGGCATCTGCTCCCTGCTCCTCTGGTTGACTCGCAGCCTTGAGGGAGAAGCTGCATGGCAAAGTGGATCGACGTTCATTTTGAAACAGTAGCCGTTGTCCTTTATTGTATGCCAGCCATTATGCTAAGTGCTTCTCATTTAATTCTCCCAACTACTCTGTGAGGTGTAAGTGTTGTTGTTATTTCCATTTTGCTAGATGAGAATGATGCTCAGAGAGGTTAAGAAACTTGTCCTGGGTACACAGGTAACAATGGGCAGAGCTGAGATTTGAATTTGATTGATTTCCAAATCGGTGTCCTAAACCACCATGATGATAATATTCACCAGAGGTCAGACCGTCACCAGCCCAAGTGTCGTAGTTGTGGCTAGGCCTGTGTCATTGCTGGGGAGTCAGTGAGGGACCACATGCCCTTTCTGGCCCTACCCTCATTTTTCTCTTCTTGCACAGGCTCACACACCCTGACAGTCTCCACATGGAGACCCATGGAACTTGGCACGGTGGCTGAGCTGAGGAGGTTTTTCATTGGTGGTTCTCTAGAACTGGAGGACCTCTCCTACCTGCGGATACCAGGAAACTTCAAGGTGATTTTTGTCTCTGAGGAGACTTCGTTCTGGGAATTTATGTTCCTGTCTCATCTGTAGAAAGTGGGATCTGGGTTAAGGTCCCTTAATTTTTTATTGGTTCATTATTAGCCCCTTCCTTCCTGTGGCTTAAACTAGAAGTCATGGCCACATTTTAAATCAGGTACAAATATCTACACTGCTATCGTAGGAGACATCTGGAAAATAGCGTACTTTGCGGGTTCCCCTGGTCCCTGTCAGAATAACCAGCCCCTCATTCCAGCCCATCACTGAAGCCTCAGTAACCAGAGGTAGGAGGATCAATAGGAAGCTTATTCTCAATGAAGTTGGAATGTTCCCTGCTTTACGGTTGGGAGCCCTGTGTGAGCCTTGAGGTGATGGAGTCTGGGTGCTAGAATGAGGTTTCTCCAACAGAACTGTTCTCCCTAAGAATGGGGATAAGAATGGGAGTGAGCATGGTGCCTGGGGTCTAGAGCCTGCAGACACCTGATGCTGTCTAATGGTATGCCACAGGGAGAGCGTCTGAGCCGCTTTGGGCTCCGCACAGAGACCACAGGTAGTATCACCTTCCGCTTGCACTGCCTGCAGCAGTCCAGGTGAGTGACCCTGGCCCTCTGCCTTGGGGCTCCTTATCCTGAGGGCTGGAGAGCAGCCTTGGCCATGTGGCTCGCTCCCCTGCAGGGCCTTCATGGAGTCAAGTTCTCTCCGGAAAAAGATGCGGAGTGTGTTGGACCGTCTGGAAGGATTTAGCCAGCAGAGTTCCATTCACAATGTGCTGGGTAGGTTCCCCTGTCCCCCCACACCCTAGCTGGCCACCCAAGGTCAGCGTGGGCTGTGTTGCCCCCCACACTGTGGCAGCTGACTGCTGTATTTGCTTCTATCACAGAGGCCTTCCATCGAGCCCGGCGCCGCATGCAGGAGGCCCGAGAAAGCCTTCCTCAGGACCTCGTGAGTCCCTCGGGAACGATGGTCTCCTAGCTTGCTGTGACCCTGGCCTTCCACGCAAGAGGACAAGACAAGTGATAGCTAGAGCCAGTGCTCTCTCACCTCCTCATCTTTCTTATTAGAGACCCGCTGCGAAGACCCCTGAGCCGGCCCCTCTGCCTAGTCTTCAGCAGGGTCTTCTCCCTGCCATGCGGCAATAAAGCCACAGAGACCCTGTGGCCTCCATATTCATGTTTCAGCTACTGCAAGTGGACATCACACCAAGATGGATTATTTTGTTTTGAGACCAGTTTGGGATGACCCCATGGTTAGTTCTGTCCTCTATCTCAGCAGTGGGCTGCAGGTGCCTCCTTCTCCACAACCTCTCTACAAGTGGAGGCTCCAGAAAGAAGGAAAATGAGATAGATCTTGAATTCCCAGCCCAGGAGTCTCAGCCTCGTCTCTCCAGGGTAGTGTCGTCCTACTGTTTGGGGCTTGTTGCATCCGAGGTACAGTTATTTCTGGAATAAATGAAGGCTGAAGGCAGTGCCCAGTCCTTTCTGCTAGCTGGGTGGTATCTTTTATTGTATTTTTTGTACATAAAGCTTTTTATACTGACTGATGTTCTGTCAGCTGTTTCTCTGCTCAGGTTGCTGGCAAGGGTGAAATATTCTTTTTAAAGTCAGGGCCCCTACCACCGCTTCCCTTCCCTTTTTCTGCGTTTTCCTACTCTAGAGTATTTCTTTTGATTTTCTTAACTCAGTCCCCGGGAGAGGCTTAGAGATGAGTGCCAGATGTGTCTTAGCAGCACTTCTCTTAAACATCTGGAGCAAAGCATGACACTGAGGTCACACCCTCCCCAGCCCCACACAGAAACCAGCTCCTGCCCTCAGCAGTGCTTCATTGGCAGAAGTAGATCATGCTGTCCTGCTTGCAGGCTCCCGAGGAGGATTATGGGGTAGCTTAGTCTGGGACTCTGTGGTTGGGGATGGGCTGGGAAATAGAAGAAAGTGGCTGGAAACCCTCCAGGTGACTTCTTGCATTGGCCTCAAGACCTTCTCGCTTGGCTCCCAAGGCAGGTAGGGTCATTGCTGCTGGGTGCCCTAGTTATTACTCCCAGCCAAAGAACCAGCTCTGAGCTGTGGTCAGCAAAACCATCAGCAGGATAATGTTGCTCAGGGGGAGAGGGTAGCCTTGTCTTCACCAGATTCCTTTGCCTCCAAGGTCAGAGACTTGGGATGGACTCCTATAGAAGCAGCAGAAGTGGGCAAGTGAGGAACTTGCTGGGCATCCAGAAATAACACTATTTCAGGGTGCTGATGACTAAGCTAAGGCTAGCTGGATCCTTCTTAATCACCCCCAAAGTCCTAGCCCCTGTGATTATCAGCCCAGAAGTTAGCATGCTGGCAAGCCACTAGGAAAGGGTACCCTGTCTCTAGTGATAAGTTCTGTTGTCCCTGCTTAGAGGCCTAAGAGGACTCAACTGTCCCGTTTGGGGAAGGGTGTGAGGGCCTGACTCGGCCCGGCACCCTTGTAGGAGAGCCTCCCCTTACCTGCATAAGCCTCATTTGCCTCGCCAGGCTGACAGGTCCAACCTGGGAATGCAGCTGCAGTTCACAAAGCCCTGGGGGTAGGTGTTGGCCATGAAGATGTCCCTCGAAACAGTGGTGATACCGGTATTGTCACACACAATTCGAGACAAGGAAATCCGTTTCAGGGCCCTGCGCTGTCGCTTGGTGAAAACACCCCATTTCTGCCACCAGAACCTACCGACAGTCAAGAAATAAGGGCGAAGGTTGGGGAGGAATTAACATATAATGAGCACTTATGTGCCAAGTACTTTACATACGTTATTTCATTCAATTGTCATGAAATTCCTGCAAAATAGGTATCATTCCCACTTTATAAGTGAAGAAACCAACTCAGTGGTCAGGTAAATTGCCCAGTATTAAATGCACAGTAATTTAAGTGGCCAGGGATAAATATGAATGAAGGTAAGTGCAAATTCAAACAAGGAGTCAGGTCTCAAACGCTTTCTGCCCGTTTCCTGGGATCTGTTAGCCTGGAGCAGTGAGCCTGACAAGTCTCCAGGGTTAAAGATGCTTCTAGCTCAGGCAGTATCAACCTTCCTGGGTCAGTGGTCTTTCTCCCTTTGACCAAGCTCTCCAGGAGCCTCCTGGTCTCAGATCCTGTGAACTTGGAAGAAATAAAGCTTAAAAATAAAAGCACTTTTCCCCGTTTTTGAGTCTTGAAATGTTAGTGCTTTTCTACCCTCCTCTGGGGCTCATCTCTTTAGGGTCGGGTCACTTACCTGTCTCCATTTCGGGCTCTTGTGAACTGGTTCTCAAAAATACAAGCCAGAAGAGGCCCCACTCGGGCCCCTGGCAAAAGAGGCTCTGCAATGGCCCCAATCCAGATGTCGATGTTGTCCGGTGTCCCATACAGCTTCAGGAACTTCCTTGCTAAACCCTTGTTTTTCAGCACTTGGCTGAGCTCTGCCAGATTCCGAGGCTGGGAGAGCCCACAGAAGCGCCGCCAAGCATTGTACCCTGAGGGGAAGAGGGCAGAGGCAGTTTCAGGCTTACCCCTGCTGTCTCCCTGCTAGCTTCTGCTTCTCTCCATAATTTCTCCTGAGACAGCTCTGTGGTCAGGCAATATTGGGCAGAACAAGAGCCCGGCTGGCAGAAGAGGCCCCGTACCTTCCAAAGATCAAACCACTGCTTTCTAATTTTCCGTGTGAGCAGACAACCATGCCTTGTGTGCACCAAACGGAGAAGTTTGTCCCAGTGTAAAAAGCTGTTGTAACCCAACACTCAGAACCAAAATGATATTATTGGGCTCATATGCATTAATTAGGCACAAATAAGTTAGTACCCAGAACATAAGAGACCCTCAATTGGGTTTGTAGAATGAATGAATGAAGAAAGGAGTGAACAAATCAAATAAAAAGCATGGATGAAGTTCACTCAGAGAAGGACCACATGCTGTATGAGTCCATTATATGAAAAATCCAGAATAGGCAAATATGTAGAGACGGAAAGTGGATTGGTTATCAGGGGCTGGGGTGGGCAGGGAGATTGACTGTTATTATGAGGTTTCTTGTGTGAGTGATAAAAATGTTCTGATACTAGATACGGTGAATGATGCATAGTTCTATTTTAAAGTCATTGAATTACATACTTCATATGAGTGAATTCTATATGTTAATTATATCTCAATAAAGCTGAGATTTTTCACCTACTCAGAAACTTCCAAAAGACCAGCCGTGCTGATTTCTTGGCTGCCAGGATCCCACACCAGGGTCAGGCCACATGACGTGATGGGACTATGAGTATAGGAGATGGCTTTGCCATAACCTGAGGAAACAGCTCAACATCGTCCGTTGAACTACAACTCACAAACATCATCTCCCAGCTGAACAAAGAAAAACCTTATTGTGTTCAACCATTACTAAGCGCTATTGTATGACTATTCTCAGGATCCTCACACCTTTGTAACCCCCATTTTATCAATGGATATTTGTTGAGCTTAAGCAACCATGACTTATCCAAGGTTACTCTACTATTAAGTGGAGTTCAAGCCAGGTCTTCCAATTCCAAATTTTGTGTTGGACTTGGGAAGGGATTAGAGTGTAAGAGCTAGTATCAGGAAAATATTTCTGAAATGGCTTGCAGGGAACAGGTATTGGGGGGAGCAGAAACTCAACTGTGTGGCAATTTGGGCGGCTAGCAAACTCACTTCTCCAGTAGGGGGCACCCACAGCTCTGATCTGTCAAGAGCACCCAAGTGTAAGGAAACTAAGGTTCTCGAGTGCCTGTTGTATGCCTGCCAAGTGCTGTGGTAAGTAGTAGAAATTCCCTCCACTCTGCTATAACACAGCTAAAAATTAGCTGAGGCCAACGGAGCTTCGGGTTATATTTAGACAGGAAAGGAGAAAGTGGGGAGAGGGAGAGAGGAGCAAGGCAGCAGCCAAAGCCTTCCCCTAGCATCGTGGATTGAACAAGGGGAAGAACGACATTCTGAACTTGACTCATATTTTACTACTTCCTAGTTATATGGCTTTGGGCAAATTACTGGCTGTCTCTGAGCTTATTTCCTCATCTATAAAAATGGCTGTAGTAGCTGCTTCTCAAGGTCATTGGGAAGACTAAATGAGTTAATATCCATGAAAGTTCCTAGCAAAGTGCCTAATTTTTCTTTTTTCCTGGGATAATGCTTTCTGTGTCCTCACCAAATAGCCAAAGCAGGCTTAATTTTACGCCCCCTGTTCCCTGCCTCTTCACTTAGAGCCAGGAGCCATTTTCTCCACCCCTGGAACTTTAGCCTTCCTCCTTGGAACTTGCCAAGGTGGTGGGAATGGAGTTCTTCCCTGCATTTTGAATCCGCTGTTTCTCTGTATTTGGAAAATCCCGATGGGATTTTCAGTTCCCATACGCAAGTCCTGGTCCTGCTGTGAACCTAAAGCTAGAGCTAGAGCAACAGATGGAACAGATGTGGCAAAACAGCAGAAAGGTGTCCCAGAATGCTCTATTGCATCAGCTTTGGCCTTGCATGCCTCTGAACCACAGTACATCCAGTAGACAGTCCCAGTGAGAAATAAGGCACCAAGTGTCTTCTCTGAAGCACCCTCCCCCACCCCACCACCAGCCCTGGTCCAAGTGAAGCCTGAGAGGAGAGGTGGGCGGCCCCCTTACCTGGGAGGCCGTGGTCTCGGCTGCGTTGCATGTTGAGAGCTGACAGGTCCAGCCCGATCCTTCTCACTTGCTGAAACAGCTTGTCCCGAAGCTCATCCACTAGCATGGAATCCTGACTGTTCAGCTTGGCAGGGGTGGCCATGAGGCCTCGGAGAATGGGGTCGATGCCACCTGGTGGTGGAGAATGTGAGCAGCACAGATTGGATCAGCCAGCCACTGGGAAGCCCCTTGAGTCATCACAGGATGCCAAGGTAGCTCAGAGCTGGATAAGCCAGTTGCTTATATCCTATAATGTTTGTACCAGGAAAACAGAGGCCTGGGTGGACATGAAAGGAGCTGGAGCTGGCAAGAAAAGGGATCACCCCTACTTCTGAAAGGAGTATAGGGCAAGCTTCCTTTAGGCCCACAAGCCGCCTGTCTGACATGAGTGTCCTCCCCTTTTAGAAATCCTCTAATCCCAGAGAGGATGGGAGGCCTGTGACTGAGGGGCTTGGTGACACCTGCCTTATTTTCACTGTCCTGAGGAGAGGATTAGCAGTGGCCCGAGCAGCAGCCTGGCCTCCCAGTAGTAGGCTTGGCCCACCTGGGGTAAGGTGTGCTCCCCACCCCCACTCCCACTGGCCTCTGGAAAACCTGGTCACCTTCATGCACAATTCTCCAGCTGGCAAAGAAGACGGAGCTAAGCGGAACACGTGAGTTAGATGCTGAAGCCCGGTACCGGCTGTCCAAGCGGAACATGAAGGGCTGGAGCATGGTGTGGCCAAAGCGGAAGGCCAGGGTGAAGACATTGGCCACACGAGGGTCCACATCGGATCTATACCCCCGGTAGGGACCCAGTGTTCTCTTGGCCCGGGCCTTGCCCAGAACCAGGGGCAGAAAGTCTCGGTAGGTGATGATCTGGAAGAGAAGAGGTAGGAGAAAATTACCTTTGTGGCTGCCCACCCCACTCTTTTGCCTTTGGACAGACCTTTGGCTTTTGAAGGGCTGCTCAGATATATTAATTCTTGATTGTCCCCATGTCAAATGTGGCAACATTAATTTCCCATTGTCCAGTGGAGATACTGAAACCCAGAGAGGATGAGTGACATGGACAGGGTCACACAGTGAGTTAGTGGCAGAATTGGGGGTTTAGGTCAGATCTCAGGTATACCCCCAATCACTTGGACCTGGCTGACTTGAGGCACATCCCTGAGGATGTGTTAAGGAGCGTGGAAGCCACTTCCTCAGACTGCTTCTCATGCCAGATTGTCTTCTAGGGAATGCTGGGACCCAGGACCCCCTACCTGGACCATGGCCCCCACAATCTTCCGAGCCTCCTGGTACAGCTTGTCTCCAGTCCACCTGGGATTCAGGCGTTTCAGCTCAGTAGCCAGCCGGTTGTGCTCTCGCATAAAGAGGGTATGCATGGCTGCCAGTTTGGGGGTTTCACTTGATCTGAGGTCACCTTGAAAACCCCAAGGTCAGAGTCACCATAACCTTTCCCAGAGAAATGTCTTTCTGCTAGGGCAGACAGAACTCTGGGGACTAGAGAGAGGAAGGAGGATTTTCTGACCTGGGCCAAACTCCTGGCCCTCTCTGGACCTCCATCTCCTCAGCTGTGCTGTGAGGCTGCTCACTGACTGCCTCTCTCCTCCCCAGCACGGGCCAGGAGAGGGAGGACAGTGGAGTTTTGGATCCCTAAGTGACTAGAACAGGTTGGGGTGAGGTAGGAAAGCACAGGGCAGCTGCCTAATAACTCTACAAGATGATGACCAGATCCACAGCTGGTGGAGGAAGCCGAATGACTCTAGGAACCTTGACTTTGGGACCGTGAGCTCATCTATCCCATGAACTGCATCCATCTACTTGTTCTCTACCGAGGGCCGGACCTTTCCCCAGCTTTGCACTTGCTATCATGCTGCTCATCCCACAGAGCCCAAAAAGAGGGAGGGTCGGGCAGAGCCTCTTCCTATAGCCAGACTTTCTGTTAGAAGCTGGGAAGAAAAGTAAATTCCTGAAGGTGGATCTTACACACAGTCATTTGCTGGCTTTGAACTAAGCCCTTTTGTACAAGGTCTTATTTAATCTCTTCAGTGGACTTCTCCCAAAGGTGCATGCTACTCTTGCCAGGAATAAAGAGATATATAATCCTTAGAAAAGGGGTCTGGAGCCGACTCTGCAAAGAACGCAGTGGAGTAGGGAGGAAAGAGCATGGACCTGAACGCCACACTGACTTGAGTTCCCACCGTGGACTCTGCCATCGGAACTCTGTGCTCTGGAGCACATTAGCTATCTTCCCTGAGCCTCAGTTTCTCATCCGTAAAATGAGATTGATAGTGGCTTCCTGTCAGGGTTGCTGTAAGGATTAGAGATGGCACATTTAAATATTTTAAATAACCAGAAATGATGACCATTATCATTACAACCAGCACTTGGGGGCAAAGGCCCGGAGGAGAGTTCAAGTTATGCATCTGGAAGGAGGTACCAGTACCAGTGGGGGTTGGGGGTGGGGGCGGGGATTAAAAACCTAAAGAGATTTAGCCCAGAGAAGAAAAACACTTAGGTGGAAGTAAAAGCTACTTTTGGGTAATGAAAGAGGCTACTGCTGTGTGAGAGACAGCTTCTCCCAAGTTCCAGAAGCATGAGGAACAACAATAAGTGGATGTGGGATTAAAATTAGGGGACCCTTCTCGCAAGCGTTGTTGGAGATGAACAGGAGCGCTGCAGACGCGGTGAGCCCCTTATCACTGAGAGTCAAGTGGTGACTGCTAGGCACACACTGGGCCAGCAAAGGGACTCCTAACACCTTACGGATTCTGTGACAACTGCACACAGACCTGTGCTATGGTGTGCCTAATACTGAGCTCTGAAGCCATGTATCCCCACAGCATCCCACCATGGCTTCTCAACCTGGAACCCAGGGACTGGCTGTATCATTGGAAGACATCACCTGTCCCCAGTCTTACCTGCCAGGAAGCAGCGGATGCGCGCAGAGCGGTTGGTGAGGAGGCAGGGGTCGTCGTGCAGGTTGTCGAAGGGCAGCAGGGCCCGGCCGTTGTCTCTAAACTGTTGGTTGACAGCCAGCAGTCCTAGGTAGTTGGTCCTATTGCGGAGCCTCAGGGAGAGGGAGACCTCACTGCCGTACACCATGCTGGCGTCCACGAAGGAGGTGAGCGCATTGATCTGGTTTCGGACGTTTCTCTTGTTTTGGGGGCATGAGGGTGCCGAGCGCGTGAAGGGGATGCAGTCACGCTGATTCCGAATTCGAGGGTCATTAAATGGAATCTGAGGTAGAAGAAGAGCCAGTGACACTAGGGCCCCTTAAGAGCAGGCCCACTCCTCTTGGTCATTCCACATCTGCCTGCTTCGAAAACTTGCTCAAAACTCCCCTCTTCCAGGAAGCCCTCCTTGATTCATCCAGACTCACACTGCTCACCAGGTCAGTGTGAATGTCCTTAGTACTTTGTCATGGAAGGTTAGAAATGGATGAAGCCTTAGATCCTTATTTTACAGGTGGGAAAACCGAGGCTCAGAGAGGAAAAATGACAACTAGTTAGTGAGAGAGAAAGGATTAGAATCTAGTTCTCCTGACATGAAGAGCCAGGAGCCATCATTCCATTCCATTCCATTCCATTCCATTCCATTCAACAGATATTTCCTAAGCATTTTTCTGTGCTGGGTGCTTCGGAGACTATGAAGATGGACAAAACCCAGGACAGGTTGCAGGAAGCTGGCAATTCAGTTGAAAATAGACACACACATAAAGAATGTAACTTTAAATTGATGTGCCATTTGCTATGCTTGATCTAAAAGCCAAAAGGAAAGGTGTAATGGGAAGATATGGGAAGGCTCCCCGGAGGAGGTGCCCCTGAACCAGAGCTTGAAGAACGGGTGAGATTGCAACAGGAAGGAGCCAGCCAGGGGCCCTCATGCGCCACGCCTCCCACATGCCATACCCCATAGATGTGGTCTTACCTTTTAAGGTTGAGTGAAGGTGTGAGGCTGTGCATGTATTAGTGTGTGCACATGTGTTCCCCTCCCCGCGCCCATCAGAGGCTCTGCTCCCTACAGTCTATCTTTCTTCCCTAGTGTTCCATACCATCCTTGCCTGAAGTATAGCGCTCTGCTCACAACCTGATCCCAGGAATTGGTGAGAGCTGCAGGGCCCTGGGACCACCTCACGAAGGAGAGAAGGGTGAGAACCAAGAGACCCTCAAGGCTTCCAAAAACAGCAGCCCAGAGGCTTCTGCTTTTGGAATGAGACCCATGGATCAAGGCCAGCCTCAACTGCTTCTTCTTCCACGCAGCCTGCACTGAGCCTCCTGGCAGACCGCCCCACCTCCACCTCTCAAACACACATAGAACTGGAGTCTATGCCAGGTTGTGCTTCTTGTCTCTGATACTCCAGCCTCACAGACAGCTCCTTAAAGATATTTAAGTCTCCAGATCTCCAACCCCAGCTCTCTGCCTCGGGTAGAGGCCAGAGGCTTGGACGATTGGCTGAGGGTACCTTGATGGGGAAGCAGGGGGGCAGCTGGGCACAGGTCTTCTCACAGTCAACACCTGCAGTGAAGGCCACTCTGGCTGGAGTCTCGGGGGCGAAGTCCAAGTCATGGTCAATGAACTGGCCCCACTGCATGAACATGAGGGCCCGGCCTGGGTCGGACACCAGCCTTTCTCTGGGAAACTGCACAATCTGGTTGGAGACGTCCCGGACCTGGTGGAAGATAGGTCAGCTCCCAGACCCCGCAAGGTGTGTGAGCCAACCCAGGACTCAGGGGCAGCAGGTCACCCCTGCTGGAGTTAACACAGGCTCTCCTCCTCTCCTGCCCTCCTCTCCCCTCCCCTACTTTGTCACACCTCCCCTGTGGCTGTCATTCTTAGAAGGATGGTCTCTGGCCTGGCCCCTGAGGATTCCAGGAGGAAAGAGAACGGAAGAGGCCAGGTTGACTCTGCTTGTACTTCCAGAGACGCTGTTATATCAAATCGATAAAGCAATTTGTAGACTAATGGATAACTGGATAATAGAACTAATAGATGCATGGACTAGTTGCTAGGTAATGAATGATAAATATAAAAAGAATGAATAGAGAACTGAAAGCATCAATGGAAGAAAAATTAATAAATAGATGTTGACAGTGGTTAGATGACAGATTGTTATATTGACATGAATAGAAAATTGATCAATTGATGCACATTAAATATCTTAGATCAATAGATATAGCTAGATTAAGGTGGATAGCCCTTTACATTTAGCAAGATACTTTGAATCTAATTCTTTCAGAAAAAAACAATACTATAATGATTAACATTAATAGATTATATCCTATATGGATAATTATAACAAGGACTTTATTTAATATTCCCACCAGCAATATGAGGCAGGTTTTACTGCCTTTTTACAATGAGGCAATTGAGACTCAGCTGTATTCCTTGCCCAAAGTCACCCAGTGGGAGAGCCTGGATTCCAGCCCTGTCTGGCTGACTCTAGGCTGTGCTTTCATTCTTTGAGTTTAGAAGAGATCAAGCATCCTCCAGACCCTCAGCCCCAACTCACAAGAGGGAGGAGGAAGCCATTGCGCCTCTTGTTAGGGGTCCAGCCGAAAGGGAGCGACAGCCCATCCTCATACTCGGCTGGCAGCCAGCGAGCTAGGGCTTGGTTGGAGGACCCCAGCCAGGGTCTCTTCCTGCAGTAGTGGGTGGGTTTGGGTCAGCAGAGTTCCAGGCCTGGAAACTACTAAGCATGTGGGGAGAGGTTGTTGAGGGAAAGGAGGCGCCTCCCCACCCCGGTTCAGGTGTAGCCCCTGGTACCCACTTGTTGTTGCATCTCCCGGTGATGGTGCGATACTCGTTACTGCATTTCTCCACCTGGTCCCGGGGAGCACAGCCGCTGGCTTTGGACAGCAGCCACAGCTGGGATTCTGTTAACATGTCTGGGGGTGGGGGTGGGGGGCAGGTAGGCAGGTTCCATGGGTCCAGGAACCTAGCTCCTTCCTGAGCCGGTCTGTTTGTACCTCCCATCTCTTTATTCTCTCCCCTCCCAACACCCCAAGGCTGTGCACCCTGCCTCTCCCTCCTAGCTTCCTTCCACTGCCAGGCCAGGGTAGCCCTGGGGCTCATTGGGGAGCACAGTACCAGTGACGTTGAAGGAGGTGGACCCCTGGAGTTGTAACTTCTCTTCCAGCAGCCCCAAGGCCACATGCATATAATCGGCAGCCTGAACGATTGTCCTGGTGGCCTCTACAGGCTGCTTGAAGTAGAACAGGAGGTCCATGGGGCTGGCCGAGCCACTGTGAAGGCGCTGCTTGATGCTGTCCAGAAGAAGAGGAGGGAGGGCTGGACAAAGGAAGCAGACCCACCCAGCAGAGCCCCATCCCAACCGGTGACCGGTTGGGACAGTATAAACAGAAGGATGGACGGAAGGGAGACTCTTTACCAACATGGCACTGCCTCCATGGTGCTCAGGGGCAGAATCATGGTGAAATAACCTTGACTGGAGCCCATCCTCTCTCATGGACCCTCCCAGGACCATGCAGAGCCCAGACCCAGGCCCACCTTATCTGAGTCTGGTTGTAGGCAGTATCCACCAGCAGCTTGGCCTCTCTTATGCAGTTCCACAGGACCGAGGTCTCCACTGCTCTGGGGGAGGCTGCTCAGAAGGAAGGGGACTCAGGGTCCAGTGAAGCCACAGCCCCCCTGAACCCCCTCCATTGCCCTTCTTCTTGTTATTACCTGGAGCAGTGGCTTCACAGGGCTGGGCCAGGGCGAGTGTGACCAGGACACCTGCCAGGGCCAGAAACAGCCTCATCTCTACAATGAGACACCCAGCCACAGCAGGGCAATGAGGGACACTCATATCCTACACACGGGTGGGGTCCCTCGTTTGCTTCTCACCCAGAGGACCCCAAGCTGACCTCTCCTCTTGCTCTTTCTAGATGTAGCTGGGAAGGGACTTTTATATCCCATCCCAGGGTGGGGGAAGGGAGCTCTGGGCCCTAGAAACCCAGCCTCTTGAGGTGGGGCTCTGAAACTTCCTTCTTGTTTTGGGGGGAGTCCCGAGACTGAAACACTCAACCCCACCCCACCCTTCACCAGCCCGGGATGGGATGTTCTCTCCTTCTGCCCACTCACCCCATTCCCACCCTCTTTGCTCTTGAGTTCACTGATGTGTTTCTCTCAGAGCCCAGGTTGCTCAGTGAATATCTGCTGGATGACTGAGGAACAGTGCGTCTCAGAAGGAGACTGGGCCTACACCTGCCACTAACTAGTTGTGTGTCTCAAGCAAGTCATTCTCCCCTCCCCGGGCCTCAGTTTCCACATCCCTAAAGTGGACTTGGGCCCGATGATTAGAAAGGCTCTTCTCCTTCTCCGAAAGGGCAGAAACCGGGTCTGCCGTACTGTTTGTCGAATGGATGAATGATGCAGGATTAACGATTCAGGTCCTCACTCTTACTCCCTATCCATAATAGCACTCTCCAAGATGTCAGGAGAGGATGAGGTGATGGCTGGGGCAGGGCCTGACAGTGAAAATTAAGTGAGCTACCTTACGGGACCATGTGGGAGACACTGTGAGATGTACAGCACCCAGCAGAGCAACGGTAGCAGGCCTCCGTGAAAGCTGAGGACCTGTCTGGGGTTTAGTGCTTCTCCAGACATTTCTTCAGTGCCTATCAGTAGTTTAGGTGTGTGCTGAGTAGTAGGTGTAAATGCTGGGACTGATCCGCAGTACTTCCTTGGAGGAGGCTTGCTGCAGTGGGCTCAGGGCCACCTGGGTTGGACCTGGCTCTGTCACTACCCGTGTGACCTCGGCTGAGCCTCCATTTCCATATCCTAATGGTAGAACATCCTAGCCAATCTTCCCCCAAGGGACATGCCCTCTCACATCTTCTTGCCTTTCCTCCTGCAGTTCCCTCCACTGGATGAGCCGTGCTCACCCTTTGCTCTGACCCCATCCTGGTCTGGCTGGAGACCCATGCTAATCTCTCCATGCTCAGCTCCAGAATCACCCCCACTGCATCCTGCAGTCTGCTTCAGGTGGACATATTCATCCCTTCCTCAGTGCAGACCTCATATCTGCTCCAGACTCCCGTGAGGGCTGTTTCAAGTATCTTTGTCTCCTGCTCTCTATTTCCCATGCCTTGCCTAAACCCAACCCCAACGCCCTCCACAGCCTCCTCCTCCCACACCAACGCCACCTGCCAGACGGTTGCTCTTGAAACAGCCCCTTTAGCAATCGCTTTCACAAGCTCCAGATATTATCTCCTTATCTTCAGCAGGGGCTCCTCTCCTTTGAGAGGGAAAGTCGCTGAGGAGGCGCTAGAAGCATCCTGACCCCCTGCATGACTTGGGTTAAATCACACCATGCCCTGGACCTCAGTTTCCAAACCTGTGAGATGAGTATAGTGAACCTCATAAAGAAGAGAGACTTAAAAAATAGCATGATCCTCGAACGTGCTTCACTTTCCAGTCCTCAGAAAGCCAGATGATCATAGAAGGTTGGAAGCCACGGTAACTCAGGTTGCCTTCCTTCCAGGGTCCCCCCTAAAGAGAACTCAGAATGAGCTCTGCTCTCCTCCAGAGAGAACTCTAATTCTTCAACAACAGTGAGTTGTGCAAAGGTTTTGCCACAGCTGTGGGCTGGTGTGGGTGATTGGGAGAAGCTCAAGACTGAACCCTGGGCTCTACATCCTGCCCGCCATGTTGGCCAATCTCTGGGGGGCTTTGGCTCATCAGCTGTTCGAGGTGCTGATGAGAGGCAAGCAGGTAGGAAGGAACCACAGAGGGGCCCTGTCCAATCAGTCTATGAAGGGCAGGTGCTAGGGCGGACTGGAAAACAAGGGGACCAAATGAAATGCTAGGTCTACCACCTGGTCCCTTGCCCCATCGGCCTGCTTTCTGCTGCCCGCCCTGCTGCAGGACCCTGCCCCTACCCTCCAGCCACTTTGACCTTCCACAGACAACACCCCTCCGCCCCCTTCCCCACCTTGCCTACGCCCAGCCCTCTGCCTTGTCTGCTTCTAGGCATCTGCTAATTCTGCAGGAAGGCTCCTTCTGGGACTCATAGCACTCAGCACCCAAGAACTTGTTGAGAACAGTACAGAGAGTTGACTCAGAACTGGCCCGGGTCCCAGTTCCAGCACTATATCATCCTCTTGGGCAAGCTCCTTACCCTCTGAGACTGCCTGCTCACTGTCAAACGGAGGTCACCACTACGTCTAACTTACAGAGTGATTATGGGAATAAATGTAAACTGTTAGTGCCTGGAACACAGCGGATGCTCAGTAATGTCTGTGGATAAAACGGAGGTCACCACTACGTCTAACTTACAGAGTCATTATGGGAATAAATGTAAAATAAACTGTTACCATAGTGCCTGGAACACAGCGGATGCTCAGTAATGTTTGTGGATAAGTCTTACTGTTCTGCCCATTGTCACTTACTTATTGAGCTCACTCCAAGCTGTCCCCCAAGGTTGCAGGGTGGGGGACAGTGAGCATAAGAGCTTCACAGACCATCCAGGCCTGGGTGCCAGGAAGGAAGGAAGAATGGAGGGAGGAAGGGAAGGAGGCCCCCCAAGTCAGGACTCTCCAGACCCTGGTCTCTGAGCACTCCACCTCAAGTCGGAGTGGGTATGCCAGTTTCCAGTGCTGGGGCCACTGGAGACCGAATGGAGTGACTGATGGAGAGACCGAATGGAGTGACTGATGAAGCCCTCCAGGGGCTCCCAGGGTAGGCACCTACCCCTCTCCAGCCGTGACCTTCACTATGGGGCAGGCCTGGACATGCGGGGTCCTTGCCAGGTCTCACAGTGTTCGGCTTTGACATCTGCTTTTTTCCTGCGTTCAGGGCCACACACACCCAGAGACCAGAAGAGAGGTGTGGGCCACAGGCCCCACGCGGGACTTTTCATGATGCCCATGGAAACCTTACTGGAGAGATTTTAGATTTTCCTTGGGACTAAGTGTTGCCCAGTGGCAATGTAGAGTAACTGATAACTGGGAGCAGATTATTTTTTGATGCCCGTCCTCTACCCAGCAAGATTATTTTCAGTAACACTCAGTAAATGAAACAAGTAATAATAATGGACAGAAAAGAAATGTGTGAAAGTTCTCTTACATTAAACTTCGTGTATATAATCGTACCAGTAAAGAAATAAAAATAAATTATTACAATATAAAAAGAAAAGAGTAACAGATCAAAACTCTTTAATTACATGAATGTTCCTTAAGTGAAGGGGAAAACTACCTACATGTTGGTGGTTTTAATAAAATATTTAATATATCATTACAGTGTCTGTTTTCTTGATTCTTTGGTTTTAAAATAAAAAAATTTTAAAGAATAAATTTCAATGTTAAAGATATTTAAATTCAGTAAAATATTCGCGAATAGAGTGAAATTTGCACTTTACAAATATTATACTTACCGGTTGCATTCTGTTTCACTGTTTTAAATTTTAAACACAAATTAGAACTCCAAATGGTCACACAGACTATCAGGTTCTGTCTTTCCATCTTCACAATTGCTGTGTTATCACTGTTTATATCAAACCAACTGTTTAAACCCAAAAACATGCAGCGTTACAGGTGATGGAGACGAAACCAGCTCGGATGCTTCTGAACTCTGATGATCTGGAATTTATTCTCGAAGCAAACGCATGTAGCTGATAGAGCCACTGTATGACTGGGAATTCTCCGAATTGAAAACCACATAGAATACAGTGCTTATTAAAGGATAAGTAATAAAAATGCGTTCATTTGAAGCTTGTAGGCTTCGTCGGACCATGGAGGTTGAAGTGTCACGAGGGAGAAAGCTCTCCGAAAGGGAAGTGGGCAAAAAATAAGATTCCAAGTCTGGGCCACACAGGAGGGAAAGATTTGTAACAAGACACATCAAAAAGACCACTCCGGGTAACGGGAGGAGATAAGGCTGCTTGGAAACTGGGAATAAGGTGCAAGAGGAAGGGTGCAGGGTGCCCTTGGGGATCAGGGTCCCGACTAGCCAACCCCTCATCTGCTCTCCCTCCCTCCCTAGTGGCCGTGGGAGTAGAAGGCCCTGGGGGACTTGGCACCTGGTCCCATGAGCATACTGTCCCCTCTGCTAACTCTTCTTGGCCCTCCATGCAGCTCCTCCTAAAGAAAGGAGCCCCCAGGCCTGCACACTCTGGTTCTCCAGAACCCATCTCCTCTCTCTAATCCTCTGCCCTCTAAACCCACTGGCTTTCAGCTCCTGAAATGGGCCTGCTCCCACCTGCTGTGGGTCTCAGCCATGAAGGCCCTTCCCGCTTTGTGCTTAGTGACCCTCCTGGCCCCATCCACAGGGAGCCTTTCCTGACCCAGCCCCACTGGCCCCAGCTCATGAAGCTGGGTCTTCCTGGTACTTCCTCTGACAGCTTCATAGAACTGAACATCATTATAATTACAGGTGTATTTCTGTGGTTGGGTCTGATTAAGCTCCAGCTCCCTGCCAGCCTGTGAGTGCCATACAGAAAAGGTCTGTGCCTGCTCCATTGCTCACACTGTAACCTCAGCACCTAGCACAGAAAATGGCATGAATGCATCTACTGTGACCGTGCCTGTCACAGCTCTTGGGTCAGCGATTGGGTTTGTGCCTGTACATCTATTAGAAGTGCTTCCTCCGGTCAGGGGCGTTGTTCTCCCTGGGACAGGCCAGCCCCAGGTCAGTAGATGCCTTTGCTGTCTTGGACCTGCCAGGCCGAGGCCCATACCCTGGACCACAAGGGAGCCTTTCCTTCCTGGCACCCTTCAGCTACCATACCCAAGAGCCTTTTCCCGCCCTGCCCTGGCCATCTCAAAACCTCAACCTTCTGCAACCACTTTCACAAGAACCGTCCACCAGCCTTGGTGGAGCTGCTGGCCACAGGCCTGATTGGATCTCTTTATCTGC